TGCTTTATGTCACTGGTACCTCTCAAACCAATCAGACGACGAGGGGCACACACACAGAAAGAGATGGCATAATGAAGTGGAATAAAAATCATTTTTCGTTGGTTTAGTGCCAACTGCCAGAAGCCCTGACCTTAAGTGTAAGTCATCACTCGGTTAGCTACCCCTGTCACAGTTAACCAGATCATCCTACATTAAATAAAATGAGAAGTGCAGCAATTATGGGAGAAAGGAAGAAAATGGGATAAAATTGAAAAGCCTTTTAGACATGGAGAAAAGCTCAGCTACTGAGGAATTTAACTGAATGGGCTTTGTGATTGGTATATAATAGCCAATATATTTGGAAGATAGCCGGTGATACCCGAGCTTTCAAACATTAATTGTTCATATATCAGAATTTGTTTAGCATGCCAGCAGCCGAGGGAAAAACCCATGCTAGTTTATGTGTGGCATGTTATAATGGTTTCTTATAGTGACTCTAAACGATGCACACAATTTCCTTCCTTAATTTCTTCAACATTCATCCAAAATCAATACCATCCAAACCAGTTAAATGTTCATAAGATCAAAACAGAATATGATGAAATACATTTTTCAGCGTGTGCATGCTAATTGGTTTAAGATCCTTTTTTTCTCATATGCTCCGTTCATATGCTGCTCCCTCCTTTTTAAAATGTAGGCATTTACACAGGGATTTTAACCATTAAGAGACTATTTCATAAACCAATCTCATCACTAATTCTGTGTAACCTTTCTCTGTATACATTTAAATTTATTTAGCTGTTTTCTGTCAAATTATATATGGTTTTGGTTTTGTATTCACTTACAGAAATATGTTTTTAGCTCTCATATGAAGAATGTTTTGTCTAACTTGTTTTATTATCCCCTGTTTGTCTTGTCTTTATGCTGTTTTATCGCCCTTTGTCCTCATTGTGTGGAACAGCAGGGACACCTGCAGGAAAACAGTTTTTAGAGTGAGTCAGGCCCACAGCTGCTAATGTTTATCATTGCTAATATACTAAATGTTATCAACTGCTAACACACACACACACACACACACGCGCACACACACGCACACACACACACACAC